CCGCCCCAGCGCCCACCTCTCCCCTCCAGCTGGTGGTGCTGCCCTACCCGATGTTGCTGCACGAAGCCACGCGGCAGGCCGCCGGCATCCGGCTGCAGGGCCAAGTCGTCATCATCGATGAGGCGCACAACCTGATCGACGCCATCACGGGCATCCACAGCACCGAGGTCAGCGGGTCCCAGGTGGGTCAGCCTGCGTGGGCGGCGGGGCTCGCTCCTTCCCTGGGGGCTGGACGTGGACTCCTCCGGGAACCGCACCCGGCAGAGCCCCACGGAGGCTGACGGGCCAGAGAGCAGCAAGCGTCGGGTTGGTGGCTCTTGTCACTGTGGACGCTGCTTCAAGGGATTTAAGAGAGCTGTGGGCTTTCTCTGTGACCCGTTACGTTCTGTGCACTGTGCCAGCTGCCTCTGCTCTTCACACTGTCCCTCCACGGGCCAGAGTCCTAAGTGACTTTGGGAGCTTGGAGATTCGGAGGGCGAAGCTGTGTCTGAGGCCACACAGTGCAGAAATGGGAAGCCGGGAGGTGACCACTGGTTGCACACCTGTTGACCAGGGCCTGGGTGACCTGAGGCCAGGGCGTGATGGTTTCCGTGAATGCCACTCTTGGGAAAAGATTTCAGAGAGCTGTGGGCTTTCTCTGTGACCCGTTACATTCTGTGCGCTGTGCCAGCTGCCTCTGCTCTTCACGCTGTCCCTCCAGGGGCCAGAGTCCTAAGTGACTTTGGGAGCTTGGAGATTTGGAGGGCGAAGCTGTGTCTGAGGCCCCACAGTGCAGAAATGGGAAGCCGGGAGGTGACCACTGGTTGCACACCTGTCGACCAGGGCCTGGGTGACCTGAGGCCAGGGCGTGATGGTTTCCGTGAATGCCACTCTTGGGAAACCGAGGTCTTTCCCCATCCAGTAAAAACCAACAGGGAGATTCCTTACCTGGGGGTTTCAGCCTCTTGCTTTGCCCAGGCTGGAAGCGGAACTTCCTGTCCCCTCAGCTCCATCAGCCCAAGGGCCACAAAACCCTGCTTTGTGGGTTCCCAATTCCTGCTCCTCATGGCTGTGACAGCTCCTGTGAGTCCTGGGCTGGCATTTTCCGTGCCCAGTGTCAGCTCTCCCAGGCACAGCCCTCGCTGCCTGTCCAGAGCCTGGTCTGACGTCAGGCTGTGGTCTCTGCTCTCTCCCCAGCTCTGCCAGGCCCACTCCCAGTTGCTGCAGTACACGGAACGGTACAGGTGAGCCATGGGCCCCGCGGTGGGAGGGAAGCCCTGTCAGCCTCCAGAGGATGCGCTTGGGTCACTGTCCCTGGCCAGGTCCCACACGATCACCTTGCTGTCCAGGTGCTGGGCCGTCGTGGGTGCCCCCACCGGGCCTAGGCTGCTTGGGACGGTGTTGCTGGCCCTTTGGGGCTGGGGTGGCTGTAGACTGTGACCCGGTCTGTGGGGCAGCAAACAAAGGCCTCAGCTAGGCCGGGTGGAGGGGAGCCCCTGCCTTGATGACTGGGTTTCTCCTCAGGAAGCGTCTGAAGGCCAAGAACCTGATGTACATCAAGCAGATCCTGTATTTGCTGGAGAAGTTTGTGGCTGTGCTGGGAGGTAGGCAAGCCCCTCCCCAGCCCCCACCTTTTCCCTGGATGCCGCTGGGAACCCCAAGATCCTCTTGGGCATCAGCTGGGTCTCGGTCATCGATCTGTGAATTCTCGTTTCTTCTGGCCTAGTCGAGCCGCCCGACCGTACACCCTGGGTCACTTGCCCACGCTCTCTGCCCTCTCCTCCCACACTCTTCTTTGTGGCCGTGACGGTGACACGGCAAACGAAGCGCACGACGCTTTGTGACGGAGTCGCAGTCTCGCGGCATCCTCGGCGCCCTTGCACAGCCGCAGTCTCACGTGCCCGGTGAAGGGAGCAGCCTGTGTATCTGGGCCCCGGTCCGTAGATGAGTCACAGAGCTGAGTGCGTGCAGTGGCGCCTTGGAAGGCAGGGGCCGGTGGGGGGAATCTCGCCCCCCGCCGGGCTCCTGGCTGCTTCTGCCTTCGCCCCTGCACCCCGTGCCCAGGCAGCCGACTGCTCCCTGCACTGCACACGGGACGGCCTTCTGCCCTGCCTCCAGGAGGGGTGAGAGGCAGGAAGTGGCGAGGCTCTGGGTTTGGTGTGCGTCGGGCCTGTGAGGCCGCCTGGAACCTCCTGCCCGCTCCGTGGGTTCTCTGCCTGCTGAGACAGGAACGCTGTCGTCTGATGAGCACCCGGAGAAGAGCAGACGGCCGCGAAGTGGGGGCAGGCGACTCCCACCCTGACCTGTGCCGTTCTCTTTCAGGGAACATCAGGCGGAACCCGGGCACACAGAGCGTCTCCCCAACGGGTGAGTGACCTGAGCTGCTCTGTCACGGGCCGCTGCAAGCCGGGCTCCAGAGCAGGCTCCCCAGCCCCTTCTCTTGTCCGCTCTCAGGGACGGAGCTGAAGACCATCAACGACTTCCTCTTCCAGAGCCAGGTGGACAACATCAACCTGTTCAAGGTAGGGCGCCACCTGGTGGTCGCGGCCCGTCACGCTTCCTTCTTAGTGCGGCCGCTTCAGATGACAGAAGGGGTGAGAAGCAGTCATCGGGCAGCCGGGTCTGAGGACCCAAAACAGAGGAAGTCACCTGGCCCTTAAAGCATCGTATCCGCAGAGCAAAGTGATCTCCAGCCTGGGGCCGAGGGGCCTTGCTGGGACCCCGTAGGCACAGCAGGACCTCAGGTCCTCTGCACCCCTCCTCCACCTCGATCGCAGCCTCAGACCTCTGCTGTCCTCCTGCGCATCCGGCTCTCTCCCACATGCTGTGTGGCCAGCGTCCCTTGAATCAGCCCAGTGACTGCAGCGTTAGCCGCCTCTGTGGACAGAGCACTCGCTGTGTTCTGGGTGGCAGCAGGGTCTGTGACCCCCACGGCACCTCCTGTCATCGTCTGAGAGCAGAGGAAACTGAGGCTTAGTGAGGTGGGGGCTGTGGCCGAACAGCGTCCAAGCCAGGACCCTGCCTTCCCCCTTCCTGCTGCCCGTTTCCCACGTCCGCTCTGTCCCCTTTTACTTGACTGCACAAAGCGCAGTCGCGTGGGTCTTTGCCGTGAGGCGCTGCTCTGTAGAACCTGCCCCTTCGCCGCAGTACCCGGAGCCGAGATGCGCTGCACACGGGGTCCACACCGACTAAACACTGCGCTCTGCCTCCAAACGAGGCCCGGCCTCACTTGCTTTTGCCTTCGCAACCTTCGCCGCAGTACCTGGAGCCGAGATGCGCTGCACACGGGGTCCACACCGACTAAACACTGTGCTCTGCCTCCAGACGAGGCCCGGCTTCACTTGCTTTTGCCTTCGCTCCTGGGTTTTTTGTTTTGTAACCTGAGTTCCTCAGCCGCTGTCTCTGGGAAGGAAAGCAGGGAGACAGCGTCTGTGGAGACCCTCAGAGAGATCAGAGCCATCTGGACAGTTTGTGAGGAGGCCACAGGCACAGGGCTGTGCTGAGCAGTCATAGGTGGCGCCGTGTGTGGGGCGGGCGGGGGCCCAGGCACCGTCTTTCTCAGGTGCGGGTCTCGGCCTCCTCCTCCTCACGCCTGGGCCGCTTTTGTAGGTGCAGCGCTACTGCGAGAAGAGCAAGGTCAGCAGGAAGGTGCGGCCCCTTCCAGCCCTCGCTGCCTCCATCTCCCGCCTCGGGGACCCCAGATGTCTCTGTCTCTGCTCCCCAGGCCGGGAGGGCGCGAGCCACAGCCGTCGGAAGTTCCTGCGTCACGCTGTCTCCCTCTCTCCTCTCGTCCAGCTCTGCGGCTTCACGGAACGCTATGGCGCTGTCCTCCCACCGCCCCCGGAGCAGCCCAGGCTGGCCGGGCTCCAGCACTTCCTGCAGAGCCTGCAGCCCGGGGTGAGCGCGGGTGAGTCAGGAGCCCGGGGGACCGGCAAGGC